CCTTCCTTGGCACAAACAACATACCTTAAACGACATAACGACATGACTCGTTGCTTCTACTACCGTCGTCGACATCCCTGTGGCTTTGACTCTGAGGTCCACAATCTGCTTGTTCATCCATAACGTTTGTTCTTATCTGACTCTCCAAAGTCTGAAAATGCCACTCAAAGAAGTGAATGGTAATGGTCAAATTTGATTTTATGACACCCGTTCTCATTTAGCAGGAAAGGAAAATTATTGCTTGTATTTATGTATGTTTTGTTACCATATTGATACTCATGTCGGCCATGTGATAACAATCACCTCATCTGGTCCAATATTGCCAGACGTAGGTCAACAATATGTATGTATGTTCAACTAGCACACCGGGACAGGATGAACAAGTCTGGTCAAGATATGAGAAATACAATTTGTCATGATGCTGTTCTTAAAACAAAGCCAACATTGGAATAAATAGGTTTGTAAATTACCAAATAATTTAGCATGGGTTTATGACACTTTCGGTTAGTGTTTACAAAATGGTAAACGGGAAGGCAAATATTTGCTTAGAAAGAGTGAGTGAGTGAGCTTAATTTTACGCCGCTTTAGCAATATTCGAGCAATATCACGGCGGGGACACCAGAAATGGGCTTCACACATTGTACTCATGTGGGGAATCGAACCCGGACCTTCGGCGTGACGAGCGAACGCTTTAACCACTTGGCTACCCCACCGCCCCTGCTTAGAAAGGACACACACACAACAAACTCTATACGGCTTTTATACGCAATAGCCAAAACACGCACATTGGTCTATTAAATTATACGTAAAATGAATTTTTAAAACGGCGCTAACTGCAGAGGGAAGTTACGTCTAGAGTTGTGATGGGTGGGGGAGTCCAATGCCGCTACCGTATAACATAAAGCAAAACATAGCAGTGAGAAGCTGCAATTTGTGTTTATAACTGAAGAGCCAAAGAGTCATGCACTGGGGCTTGTAACGGGGCCAATAATACTAATATTCAACTGCATATTTTCAACACTTGCGTTTACTGCGTCAGCGCTAATAGCATCTGTGTTTTCCCGAGATCTGGCTGGGTTAGCCATCCTTCCTGTCAAAGAGACAATCACCAAATGCTGGCCCACAGCATGATTCACATGGTCTTGAATTTTCAAAATAATTAACTTCAAATGTATTTTCATTTCTTAGGGTAATAACCATTCTCTTCCCACAGAGGTTACTTGTCATATCTTCCTACGAACCTCTGTTCTAATACGGCCATATTTCCCGGTTCTCGTAAAATCCCCTAGCGGCAAAAGATCGCAACACGAATTATCTCCTTCTTTCTATCCAATCAGAACACGTGTTACATCGACTTAGATTCAACTTGACTAACACAAGCAAATGTGGGGCCACAAATACCCCACACACACACCCCCGCCCCCCACCCCACCCCACCATCTGCCGGGGACTTGTGTTGATGTTACACACAAGACGTTTAATGGCTAGCTTGTCCGTTGTCAACGAGGGCGATGGAGACGCCACTGATCCGCCATAACATGACTGAGTTCTGTCTAGAAGAAACGTTTGCGCATCGCGCAGGGGAAAAAGTTTAGTTTTCTCGAAGCATACGGAAATTACCGAGGCCTTGCGAATGATCACCTTTGAAACAACGTCGCTGATTGCACAATTAAATCTGATTGCCTCCAATCACGAGTCTTGAACGCTCACACCATGAAAGGGCCGTATTAGAACAGAGGTTACGTAGGAAGATATGACAGGAGTAACCTCTGTTGGAAGAGAATAGGTAATAACAAATTATCTTGAAAGTTCAACTTTGTATCTTGAAATTTCATACAAAAATATAGAAAAATTCACGAATGGTCCTAAAAGGCATCCATACCTAAACGTTTTCTAAGCATTATTAATTAAAACCCGAACAAGGAATTAAAGACAATGTTTGAGAAGTTCATGTATGAATTGTTTATATCCTGTATTATAAAGGCTTTTATAGGAGAACAGAGAAACAAGAATCTGGTGTATCGATTCCAGAAGTCACGTGTCTCTGCATTATAACCAACTAGTTCAGGAGACGAGTTAGACCTGCGTTGTGCACGGGAACAAATGGATGCAAATCCAATATTTGTAGCTGTCCTCATGCTACCCTTTCCGTTGTGTCGGGCATCAGAGGGACAGATAGATGGAACACAGGATGTGGTTTTGTCCGAATCTGTGTTCCAGTCATTTCTCAGGACAACCCAACAGCAGTGTAGCCGACTCTGTGTGTACTCGTCAAGATGTCTCTCGGTCAACTGGTCATCGTCCACCAGGGAGTGTCAGCTGGATTCAAAGAAGGGGAACAGGGAAACCTTGCAGGTGTCTGACAATAACCCGTATCTACCAGTCCAACAGATGATACAGCAGGTATGTGTGTATGTGCTGTATGTATGACTGGTGTGTAGGGTGGGGTGCGGGGTTGGATTGAGTGGTGGTGGTGATAGGGGGTAGGGGGGGGGGGTTAGATGTTAGAATTGAAAATGGTGTGTGTGTGTGTGTGTGTGTGTGTGTGTGTGTGTGTGAGTGAGTGAGTGAGTGTGAGAGAGAGTGATATGTGTGTGTGGTTGGAGAACGTTTTTGTTATAATTGTTAAATTAGATCAAGGGTTTTTATTATAAAAAAATTCCAGGATTTACAAGAGATACTTGTATGGAGAAAAGCATTCACTCATATTTCATGCCAATTCGGTTTGGGGGCCATTCGACATGACTCGGCCAGGTTTCGTCAGGCACGGCAACTCTTCGACTCTAATTCTATCCCGTATTTAACTCGAATTTAACTCTAATGGTGAACTTCTGAAAATTGTTTCAAGTTAATTTAAACAGTGAAAATTAAAGGGACAATTAGTCTGATCTGATTTTCAAGGCCTCGTAACATACGTTGTTTCCATGTTCTAAAGGTTTCAATGTAAGTATGTATTTTGATATCAACTTGATATCCAACAGATGATACAGCAGGTATGTGTGTATGTATTGTATGTATGACTGGTGTATGTGTGTGGGTGGGTGTGGGGGATGGGGGTGGGGATTGGGTGGTGTGTGGGGGTGTGTGTTAGATGTTAGAATTGAAAAATTAGATCAAGAAATTTTATTTAATATATTTTTGCCTGGATTTACAAGAGAGGCTTGGCCAGGGTGAATTGGACCGGTAACAGACTGTATTTTACTTGTATATTTCGGCGGTATGCTAACGTAGGTCCGAGACAAAGAAAACGATTAAAATTGTATTTCTCATATATATTGAACTAAATTTCACATTGAGCTCATTATCATTTTATCAAGTTTAGACCCGTGAAGGTCCGGGATAGAATATTGATTTTCAGTAACCCATGCTTGTCGTAAGAGGCAACTAACGGTATCCGGTTCTTAGGCTCGCTTACTTGGTTGACACATGTCATCGGTTCCCAATTGCGCAGATCATGCTGTTGATCACTGGATTGTCTGGTCTAGACTCGATCATTTACAGACCGCTCTTCGACTGCAGTCGTCGGAATTAAATCCCGTATTTAATTCGAATTTGTGTACTTTGGTTATATTCCCCTGTATCACGACAGCCTGTAAATGATTGATTCTGGTCCAGAGAAACCGACGGATAGAATATAAGCAACGTTAACACCTTTGATGCTGTCCAAACAACACGAGTCGTTGTGTCGTACAAAGAATGGGTGGTTTTATTCTCGCAGTACAACTGTGAGAGGTAGGGCGAACAGCGTCTGACGGATGCTATCTGCGAATGGCGGCGAAATCAGGTTGACACCTGGGAAGCAGATGGCGGATTGACCCTCCCTTGGTCTTCTCTTGGTATTCTGGTCTGTCCGCGAACTTCCCCGATATCTGTCGGCTCCACTTATCCTGCCTGCTTTTAAAGCCAGGCGGACGACTAAGAATTTGTTTTGGGTCGGCAATTCTCATAGACATAATTGTCCTCCCAAAGGAAAGAAGTGGTGTAATGTCCAATGACTATCCCTTCCACAATATGGAATAGGATTCGCTCAGTCCTAGTGGTGCTGACCCACACCCTAACCGATCCACCGTTAAATCTTTTATGACTGACTGACTGAGTTTGGTTTTACGCCGCTTTTAGCAATATTCCAGCAACATCACGGCGGGGGACACCAGAAATGGGCTTCACACATTGTACCCATGTGGGGATTCGAACCCGGATCTTCGGCGTGACGAGCCAACGCGTCAACCATTAGGCTACCCCACCGCCCCAAATCTTTTATGAGGTCTCAGGTTGATCTTGATTTGATGTATATTCGACGTCGCCAAACACGACTATATCTCTCAAGGACGTGCGGTCAACCAGACACGTGACCAGTGATGACTAACCCAGTCTTGATGGTGTGCATGCGCAATGTTAAAACAACTTGCATCAACTGGCAATACCATTAATCTGTCCCTTACAGTATCTCTCTACGTGGGATGAATAATGGAATTGCGGCATACAGTCTCTTCCCTTAGGTACCGGTGAAGATCCTTGTTTTAACCCTTGTCAGCAACCCATGTTTGTCGTAAGAATACAAACTTTTCAACGTCGGGCGTTGTATGCTGCCGTGCTTCTGAATCTCTCACACGCACTTTATCATGTGTATATATGGTTATTTGTAGGTTCATCCATGTGCCAATCAACCATGCAATGCCAAGCACATGTGCATCCCCGTCAACACAGCTAAAAGCCATGTATGTGTACGTATTGGGGGCTTAATACCACAAACTACTACTACTACTACTACGATTACGACTACTACTACTACTACTACTACTAATACTACTACCCCTGCATCAACTACAACTACCACCACGACTGCTACTACTACCCCAATCACCTTCCCGGCATCAACTACTACTAACCCTGCATCAACTACAACGACTACTACCACTACCGCTTCTACAACCCCAACCACCACCCCGGCATCAACTACTACTACTATTGCTACTACTACTACTACTACTACATCTCCTATGGCGGCCACATCGGTTCCAGCATCAACTTCAACAGCCACACTGGCAAGCTGGACTCCACCATGTACGTACATGTATGAGACAGTGTTATTGTTAAATATTACGGTGAAAAGCCACATGGATCTCTATTTCATTGACCGGATAGGAAAATACACGCAACTACATATATCTGGAAATTATTGTTTCCTCAATGTATTTAGTTGTAGATCTGAAAGAGCATGTCTGAATAGTTCTGTTCCTTGTAGCCTTTTTCTTCATTGGCAGTAGGAATTATCAACGAAAGACATCAACGCTTATAGTTTGAAAATGGTAACAATTCAGTTTCTGGAGGAAGGCATAGCGGCAAAAGAAATTTTGCCCAAATGTCTTCAGGCTCCAGGACTAAAAAACGAAACTGTGCGTCTTTATTGCCATTGGTGATATATCCTGCGGGCATCAGAAAAAGGTATCAGATCAGCCAGCAATATCTTTAAACACGAGGCTAGTCCACGAGGCATATGGTGGGATTTGAGCAACACTTGCATGTTTTCACATTTAACGACACAAGCTGCACTGACTTGGCTAAAACGTTCCTCCAACTAGGGTCCATGCAAGAAGCAAAGGCACTGTAAGTCCCAATGGACCCTAATATGGTGATCTACCTTCAGTTGTTGGCGATCAATAGCCTGTTTTTATATTGTATCGTCCTCTATAGTTAGAGTATTTTAGATATTATCACTAGTTTTAAGTATATATCTGTGATAGTCTAGTTGGTTCTACTGTCCCTTGTCGACAGCTATTTCAATTGATTACCTTGTTTTTATGGCTATATGGCTGTAATATTGCCGATGCGATGTAAAATTTTACCTCACTCACTCACTCACTCACTCACTCACTCACTCACTCACTCACTCACTAAAACGTTCCGAAAAGGCGATCTATTTCAGTTTCTTAGCTTTAGTTCACACATCAAATTATTACATTTTAATATTACTTGTTGTGCTGCAGATTTGATTTTTTAAGGGGCGGTGGGGTAGCCACACAATATGTGAAGCCCATTTCTGGTGTTCCCCGCCGTGATGTTGCTGGAATATTACTAAAAGAGGCGTAAAACTAAACTCTCTCAGTCACTTTGATTTTTAACCCATCACAAGTTTACTTTCAATTCGGGCTCCTTATCCACAATGGTGAAGTACAAACTCTATATCTTGCACACCCAGGGTGCACATTGTGTACATTCTGTGTGTAATATTTTTTTCATCACAAGGGATAAATATTTCAGTGTCAAAACAATGAAGGATCTTTTTACAATGTCAATTATCATTTAATCATTGAATTTCTAAAAGAAGTAGATTTACTTGATAAATTTTGATTGATATGTTTTGTATATAGATATATATATTATTGGTAGTTTAAATGAGCAATTTGATTGTTAGTGGCTGTATCCTCACAGGGGGGTTGAATTTTTGTAAAATTATTGTCCTCCTGTAGGGATATGTAAGTCTCATAACTTTCAAAGTAAATTTATAATTACCAGATTTGTAAACGTAGTATTTGTGTCATTTTATCTTGTGGCTACATTTTCCCACAAACGCCAGCGGCTAATGTAGCAAAGATACACGGTCCCTAGTATGGTGACCTACCTTCAGTTGCTGGTGATCTCAAGCCCGTTTTTATATTGTATTGTTCATAAAACTTGTTAAATTTTACAGTTACACGCTAGTTTTAATTCTCTATCTGTGATAATCTAGTTATTTTACTGTCCTTCGTCGACAGGTTTTTTTATAATTCAGTTGCATTTCTTATGAATTTGTAATTTATTAAAGTCACGATATTGATGAAATATTGCCGATGTGACTATTAATCTTAACTCACTCACTCACTCTGTGTGTAATATACTTCTGTGTCTTACAGATAACGGTACATGTGTGACGGACAGCGACTGTGCTGTACCTCCTGGATGGACTTGTTCTGGGGGTGTCTGCACATGTTCCATCGGATACGACCTGGACGAGACCAGCGTTACGTGCAGGAAGCTGACAGGTAAACAACCTACGGCGTGATACCGGAAATACATTTTACAACTGTACCCATGCAGTTAAACGGGGCAAGTTATTTAATACTTTCCCATCAGCCTCTATATAACTGTCAGCCATTTATTGTCACTTGAGCGCGCGTGCGTGTGCGTGCATGCATGTGAGTGTGTGCATGCATATGTTTAAGCGTGTACTTGTTATGACTCCACATTATTCCACTTTAAAATATACTGGACATCATAAGCATCGTCTTTTGGAATATTTTGTGCCATGTGTATTCGGTATATTCACAATACAAGTTATTTATGCCACATTTCAGTAAAAGTAATAAATGCCTTTTATGTTTCAGCATAGTTGTTTTAGTAACCGCCATGACTGGGCAACAGTGTAGATAGTTGCTTAGAATATGAATCCACCCATGAAGGTCCGGGTTAGAGTTAGTCTTCAGTAACCCATGATTGTCGTAAGAGGCGACTAATGGGATCGGGTGGTCAGACTCGCTGACTTGGTTGACACATGCCATTGTATCCCATTTGCGTAGATCGATGCTCATGCTGTTGATCACTGGATTGTCTGGTCAAGACTCGATTGTTTACAGACCGCCGCCATATAGCAGGAATATTGCTGAGCGCGGGGTCAAACTGAACTCACCAGAATATGAATCACTGGCTTCTGTATCAATAAACTACAGGAATGATTTGGGCCTGATGTCGTTTTAGGTCCAAATGGTTGTGTTGCTTTTAAGGGAGCTTTTGTCGGCATTTCAGTCCTATAACACAGAGTGAAATACACAATCATACAAAAATATCTTTTATTGTTTTACAGAATGCTCGTCGTTTGGATCTGATTTCACCCTCTTCGTGAACCTGGCAATCAGAGGACACAACATCAGGACCATCCATTCTAAGACTTCTGCGGAATGTGCAGAGCTGTGTGTCGATGCTAAAGACATCGTCTGCAGATCCTTCGAAGATTACTATAATAGCTGCTTCTTGCAGACTCTGACGTGGTTTGACGTCGGCGGCGACGATCATCGGTCTCTAGAAGATGTTGGTCATTACCAGCGTCGATGTAACTGGTGATACGCATGGCGACGACAGTATTACATATTTCCCCAATGTTTCGGAAACTCAAAGCGAACCCGTCCATGCATAAACCTCTAACGTGCTCTCTACAAATCAATATCATCGACTGCACGCACTAGATTATAAAAAAAACTTTGATGAACTGTGAATGAACCCTCACAGCCATACATTACCACAAAAGAATAATCTCTGAATGGGTTCTATATTTTATGTTTAAATGTTGCAGGCACTCGTGAAGAGCAATCTCCTCAGAAGGCAGACTGGTTTTATATATATATGTTGTATGTCTACAAACGGGACTCACTCACTGTGCTTTGATGTATCGCATGGTCGCTCTAGTGTTCTTATGTAGATGTGTTTATGGAGTAGAGATCATAATTATACATCCATATATATTTGCACAGTGTGTGAATGCAATCCATGTTCACTCACTCATCAGTCAGGCTCCTCCATCGTGACTGTTTGGACAGGATGTGGAAACAACAGACAACGTCTGTCTGATCTGGACTGGTCGCCTTGCATGCTGCGAATGGTATGCTCTCACAGTAGTACTTAAAACCTTTCTCGAAATGTTTGTTTCCCAAACTTATGTTATGTCCTCTGCGTATTTCTCCACAAAGGAGAAAGTGTGCTTGGGAAGACGCCGCAGGTCTCTGGCGTTTGATTGTGATCTTGCCATATTTTGAACGACTGTTTTCCAGGTTCTTTCCCTTATAAATATATATGAGTACAAACAGGGATTCTCAAGCTGGCATTTTAACTTGCGTAGTCATTGTCACAACTTCCAAGTTCATTTTTCTCCAATTCCCTTTCTGTAACAGGTTAGTGTTATGGCATTGTGTAGTCATAGGTTAGTATAATGTTATGTAAATGTTGTATAAAGCTACAAATGTCTAAACAGGTCGTGTGTATTCACCACACCAGTTAACAACCAGTTTGTGAATTTGTTTCAGTTGAAGATATTGCATTTGTATTGAATGTTTCATGAATAAACAAAATCAGTATGCTGATTATTTCCATGTGTTTCACCTTTTAATATACATTAACGCACGACGCCATATATTATGATAGAGGGTTTAGATAGCTTGATTAAAACTCATCGAAGTACATATTCCAGATTAGGAGTTGGCATTACAAGCAATGTGACAATAACGAACAATGCCAGTTCTTTAATGGACGCCTATCTGTACGCGATTCAAACAGGCAAAAGGGTTTTGTTATATGCAAATCGCAGTTTTGCACGTATGTCCCGGAAGTAATATAAATTCACCGCTTAGCGCATGCAAATCAAGGGAATATACATCTCTGCCCTTTCCTAATCCCTACCCTTAAACGGTTGGTTCTACAGTTAACGTGAAACACGATTGTTTGTATTGTTTTCGAATTTGGAGATCGCCAAGTGCAGTGACATTTTATTGTTTTTAAGAATTACTACAATTTAAACTTTTGAACTTGGACAAGTTTGTTCACCCAATCACTTTCAAAATAAGGGTAAAATTGTTTCTCATTGAGGTGCAGTGCACGAAACAAGTCAGGATGTAATATGATGGTCATGCGTATTGGAAGTGAAATGGTCAGTTTGTTAGTTATTTGCTTTATTTAACATCGCACGCACAACTAAAATATTTCGGCGACAGGGTAGTACACTGAATAAGAAATGAGGGGGAACAAAAATATAAATTTTAAAAGTGTGGTGTTACTAATATTACTAGGTATAACATATGAAATAGGTAAAGAGTAATAGAGATTTGGAATTTAATATAGATGTAGTGTAGTAAATGGTTATTCTCATTATTATTGTATTTTTTCAACCGACCGATGTTTAAAAACATATTTATTATGTGAATAATGATAATCATATAAAAGGTTAAAAAATGAAGTTGATAAAAAGAGAGAATTCTTTTGAATTATTTGGGATTTATTAGAATGTGCTTGAGATCAGAAGAGTTAGCATTGTTGAGGTACTGTTTTAAAGCATTGGTAAATGGGGTACTTTGTTTATTATATTTTGAACAGTAAAAGATATTGTGGGCTATTGGTTCAGGAATATGGCAAGTGCCGTTTGGATGAGGGTTGATTTTGTGTAGATAGTGATTAAGATTGCAATTTGCTAGTCTTAATCTGGTTTTGGCAACATCAATTCGGCGTGTTCGGTGATAATTTTTACATTTTGTATTTAGTGTTTGTTTGATGAGTCTTAGAATGACATAGAACCCAAGCGTCTCATACAAACCGAAACGTGAGTCTCATGAACCAATTCAGACAATGACCGACTTTTCAGCTGATCCGAATTTTCTCGTGTGAAAGTGAAAAGAGACACTACAAACAGCTATGGTATTTATAAATGAATTTTTATTTTAAACTTTAAAAAAATCGTGTTTCTATATTTCATGACGAGGTTTAGACAGCATGACGTTAACTAAGGCGTCACAGACTGTCCCTGTTTGAAGAGGTCGTAAAATGATTCACACCTTATCTGGCTGACTGGTTACGACTGTTATGTGTTCTTTGCGCTTATTAAGTGTATTTTTTGTAACGCACAATGTGATTGTGTACGACAATATCAAGGTCGTACAAGACCGCCAAACATTTCTAGCGGTCGGGCCTCGTTTTGAGATTCCCGTGCCGTTTGTCAGAGAACGCTGTACGACAGAGCACGCTGCACGACGTGTTTGCAAGGATTAGGAGGTGCGTGTTTGAAATAATTTGATTTCTTCTTTTCTTTAAATACAACCTACTTTACCTACGAAAAAACAAAACAGTCCCAAAACAAAATTCTGGATTGGTTGTTGTACCAAGTTGCGCAATAGGTTGGACGGAACCCAGTCAGCAGGAAACGAGACTGTTTGATAATCAATGTTTTGACTTGAGGAACTATCGATAGATGGATCCAGGGGCGTAGGTTGTGGGGCAGCCATGTGCTTTAAGTCCAACGGGCGAACCCTATTTCTGACTCTCCCGTAGTGCTGTTGCTGGAATATGCTAGTGAGTGAATATTGCTTAACGTCGCATCAGAAAGTTTGCAAACATTCAGGCGCGTAGCAAACTAATTTTTCGTGTAGCATGTATTGTCATGAATCCAACTGTCTCAGTTGAAGAAGAATATCTATATAACAATGTAAAACAATATGAAGAGCTCACAGAAAAGCTTGCAGAAGGTCAGACTCTTCTGATTTACTTATATGTGCGTTTCTTTACAAACAAGAGAAAAGTCCGGTCACGTGATATGCAAATTAGCCTGTGGTAGTGATGTTATGCTAAGTCATCACTGCACCGGAATGTGTATCTGACCGAGCGAAAGCGAGGTTAGAAACCATAGGAAGGTCACGAATTTCGTATACTTCGTATGTAATGAGACCGAGTGCGGTATTTTATTTATTACCCACGTGTTACATGCATTAAATTGACAAAATAGCGTATTTTTGTTATTTTTATGTTCTAACACCGAAACCGGTTTCATAAAAAGTTTGCGGAAGAATTTTGTTCTGTAGTACACTTTTTGCATGACGTCACACTGTATGGACGTCACTACGCCATCCTCGTCTGCCCCCTTCGTAACCGACGTCACGATGTATGTCAGTTGCATTCGCCTCGTACAACATCCTACATAAACTACTCGGTAGCACACCTTTTCTTAGTTTGCAGTTGCTTCACTCAGCTAACATCACTGGTGGAAACTTCGCGTTTATGTTTTTCAAAGGATATAATGTCTCAGTTCGACTCACAATTAAACAGCGTTAGGGCAACGTTCACAATGTTTACATTCCCACAATGTATATAAGTTGTGGAGTGAATGAATTCGCGTGTTTGTTATGAATAAAAAGTAGTTCCGTCACAACGTGACTTAATTTAGAGGTCTTCGGTCATCCAATCAGATTGTTAGAACCTCAGGTCAAGTCGTTACGACACAGGTCAACGCGATACGACACTCGTGTGACGTACGATCGAGATTAATATGCACCTACCCATACGTTGACCACGTGGGTAATAGATAATGAGTGAGTGAGTGAGTTATTATTTAACGTCACATCGGCAATATTTCAGCCATATCGTGACGAGAACATATGTGACATTGAAATGGAATAGATGTATCTTATAAAAGCCTGTGGACGAAGGACAGTAAAACAACTAGATTATCACAATTACAACTAAAACTAGTGTGGAAAAGTAAAACTAATAGCACTATTTGGACAATACAATATAAAAACTGGCTATAGATCGCCAAGAACTGAAGGTAAATCACCAAACTAGGGACCATGGTTGGGTATTAGATAAATATACAGAAACAAATAATTAGTTCCAGACAAAAGGAACTAAATATGTGACTAGTTTCTTCTATTACGACACAGTTGTTAGATGGAATTGCTGAATGTTCGGCTCCTCTTTCCTCAAGCACTAACCAATAAATACACAACTACACAAAGTGCCATGTGTTAACATGTTTACGTAAAAGCCTGTATTGTCCTTCAGCAACCGATGCTTGTCGTTAGAGGCGACTATTGGTACATGGTCGTCAGTCTCAGTGCCTACGTTGTTGCATGTCCTTGTATCAAAGTCAGTAGTTCGATGCTTTTCATGTCAATCACTGGAGTGTCTGGTCAAGTCTCGATTATTAATAGACCACCGCCATATAACTGGAACAAATAGTTTTAAACAAAACAAGAACGACACCCAAACATGTACAGATTTACGGCATGCAAGACGACCTGTCCAGATTAGAGACGTTTTCTGATGTTTCCACACCCTGTCAAAACAGTCATGATGGAAGCCGTGAAGGTCGGAATGGTTCCAGTAAACCATGCTCGCCGTAAGAGGCGACTAACGGGATCGGGTGGTCAGACTCGCTGACTTGGTTGACACAAGCCATCGGTTCCAAATTGCGCAGATCGATGCTCATCACTTGATTGTCTGGTCCAGACTCGATTATTAACTGACCGCCGCCATATAGCTGGAATATTGCTGAGTGCGGCGTAAAACTAAACTCACTCACTCACTACAGGGACACAAGAGCGACCATGATACACATTAAAGCAGAGTGAGTGCGCGATTCCCGTTCATAAAGTCACGAGTGCCTGCAACATATATACTACCCATCAAAGATTAGACTCACTAGTGTAAATGTAGGCACTTACTTCAGTCAACTGTTCTAAACTAGATTTTGCAAAATATTCCATACTGTTTAAAG